TCAAACAATAGAATCAACCGTAAGTCAGCGAGTAGGCTGTGTGTTGAGCTATAAATAACCTATTAAATAGGAAACTCGGATTGCACGCTCGCAGTATATACATAATGAATAATTTCCTAAACACTATTAATAAAGATAATTCAAGAAAATACTTGGCTAGAAATAGGACTTAGTAGTAAAATTGCTATAATGATGAGTTGCATTTACCATACCTATTTATTTATTCTTTCAACTGCAGCAGGTACTTCCATGTTTGTGAGTCAGTTTTACATGGTTGTAATTAGCTCTTTGGATATTTATCAACTTGTCTTTAACAAACATGGTAGAGTTTTGGCTGGTATTTGAGATCGTAGGAATTTGAATGATTTATATAATTACTATATGAAAAGATTTAAAAAAAAACAATAAATTATTGAAAATTCAAGTCAAAATATGCCACTTATTGAAAAAAAAAACTAATATGTAAACCTTTGTGGATTATTAAACTGTGTATTTAAACAATCTTGTTGATATTATAAAAATATGGTACTATTATATTATATGATGTGTACCTTCTTTGGGCTTACAAGGATGTCGCAAAGTTTTTTAGAAAAGATCGTCAAACACCAATTATTCTAGAATTGATTTCCATTTATGGTATAGTCACAGACTGATATAGATGAAGTTACACACGCAAAATTAATTTTTTTAAAATTCGTATATATATTATATATTAATATATATATAGTAAAAATAAATATTAATATTAATAATAATAACAACAAATTAAATAATAATATGCGACAAAATATCCTCAAAAGAGCTGATAAAGCTGCTAACACAGTTATTAGATTAATTGGACCTATATTTATTGTCTTGGCTGTTTCGTTAATAGGACTTGCAGTTCTAGTTTACTTTACCGTGATCTTTCCATATTTTTATAAATGGGAAGAGGATTACCTATCATCAAAAATACTTTATTGTTTAGGTTTAGCGTTTAGCGTTTACATGGTGATATGTATAGCTTTTCATTATTGTATGGCTGTTAGAACGAAACCTGGTGGTGTCTCGAATGCCAGCATCGGAACAATGGTAAATATATAAAAAAAATTTTTTAAGAAATAAAATCTATTTATATATAAGTAATTGTGTTATATTTATTTGTCTAGGAAGGAGATGATCCAATATTACAAGGGGTATTTCTTGAATTAGAGGAATACCAAGAATTTCCAAAAACTTGTAAAAAATGTAATCTTTAAATTTTTCTAATAAAGTCAAAATATAATCATTATTCTATTTTTATTAATAATATTTTTTATTGTCATTTGTTAAGGCCATCTTCCTAAACCAGAGAGAGCGCATCACTGTTCAGTCTGTAAAAAATGCGTTTTAAGATTTGACCATCATTGTCCCTGGATAGCAAATTGTGTTGGATTCTTTAATCATAGATACTTTCTTTTATTTATGACTTATTTGGTGATTGGATGTTTTTATTTTGTTATCGTTGGTTGGAAACCATTCTTACAAAGTTTAGATATTGACAATGAGGTAATATCATCATTTGGAAGATAATGAGTGATGGTTACGATGGTAGTTATGATGTTTTATGATTAAATTACTAATTTTAAAGTTTTAAATAGTGGGAATGGTGGACACCTCGTCCTTACATGGCTTTGACTTACTTATTAGCAACTGGAATCGGGTTATCAGTAGGTAATAATTGCATTCGGATGCTAATTTATGAGGAAGAAGATTATTTGGATTTTGAATTTTGAATTTTTTTTATTAATTACATTTGCATTTTTTTAATTTTATAGGAGGCATGTGTTCATGGCATTATTATTTAGTAAGTGGTCAATTGATCAATTGATTAATTATGATCTATACATTTATACATGTATACATAAACAATAATTATTAATGTTATTTGATATATTGAAGATTTTAACTGCACAGACAACAGTAGAATTTTATGACAATCAATATGCAAAACGTACTGCAAGATCAAAAGGAGAAGTAAATATCATTATCTTTATCATTATAATAATATTCATTCATTAATTGAAAGAATCAAAAGGAGAAAATTTATTTATATTTATATTTGTTATTTTAGATTCATACTAATCCTTACGATCTTGGAGCTATAACAAATTTATGTCAATTCTTTAATGTTGGGAAAGATTAGTAAGTGATGGATTATTATAATTATAAATAATTTTATGTATACGTGTATATATTATATTATTAATTTTATTATATTCACTAATTTAATTACTTTTGATTTTTTTTATATACTACTTGTTCATCAAAAAGTCCAATATACACAATATTCATTCCAATTCCGATACCTCCACCTGGTAATGGTAAAACATGGAAAAAATCCATGACACATTATACAACTTTGAATGGTGATATTTATGAAAATAATTAAAAAGAATTTTTTTTTTTCATATTATGTAAATAATAACAATATAATAATAATACTAATTAATATTAAAATAGATTATTTATTTGTTTTCATTCTCATTAATTCATTTTTTCATCCTTCATATTAATGTATACACACCTTTAAATTTTAACGATCTTCAAATCATGTGGCTAATAACATTCCCAAAATTTATAATAAAAATAGTATAGAAAATTACTGGCGGAACTTTTAAAATATTTTAACACATTATACTCTGATTATAGTAATAGACAATGACATAACACGGTTATTACAACGTTACGGAGGAATCCATTTCATTCAATTTCCAAAAGAAGAACACCCTTGGTACATCAATAAAGCAATTGATCCAAAAAATCGATGAATAGAACTGGCAAAAAGAATACAAAAAGTGAATATTCATACAATAAGAATTATTATTAATAGTATGTATTATTACCTATAACCCATTAGTAATAACAACCAGAATATTTTGATGATCGCGTAATAATAATCCATAGAAGTTTAATACAATGGTTTATATATAATAGTTACCATTAGTAATGTATATATAATGTCAACTGAGTATTTTGATATTGATGTTAATTTTTTTTTCTTTGATGGTCGCGTAACAATAATTAGTTGTCTAATCATAGATCCGTTTTTTTTTGAAGGAAACAAATATTAGCATTAGTAATATGTATTAATAAAATTCTTTAATGAATGAATGAATATAAACCAACAGTTCTAGTTGTATTACTCAAGGATTCTTATATCTTTTCGGTTCGCGAAACATCGAATTTTTAAAAAGTTCCACCTGGCAAATTCTAATAATAAGCAACATATAATTCGAAGTTTTAAAATCGACCGGCGGGTTACGAGAATTGAAAAATCGGCCTGACCTTTCGATTTTTTTAAAATATATTATGAGTTAATAATGATGACGAAAACAATAATAACAGCAACAATAATAATGATACATTAATAACGAAAATACTCCAAGACTTTAAAATAATATAATTGTTGAGTAATAAAGAATAGCTGCTGTTTTCAAAGATAATTGATCCAAAAAAAAAAACGAGTTTTGGAAAAAAATTTTCAATATAATAATATTAAAAGAAAAACGCGTAAATTTCGTATATTTAAGATATTTAAGCAAAATTTGGTGAACAGTCATCATCATTTTTATTAACATATTTAATGATTCTATAGAAACATTACTGATGTTCTTGTCAGTTAATTGTAATAATCTGATGCTTGTCAATTAATTAGTTTACGAATTTACTGTACGTAGAAAGCTTCGGCGAATCTGCAAGCACACTTGATGGTACAGGCTAACTGTAAATGAATAAAGATGGCTCTTTTACAAAGCTAAAGACCTCTATAAAAATTTACTGATGACCGACTTATTTCAGTCGTTTATTTACAAAACAACTTAACAGCTTGTTTAACACACGCACACACACAAGAAGAAGGAACCTACATGGAAAAGAAGATCAAATTAAAAGATCAAGGGTTTACTTTCTAACTCTGCCAAATTTCTCATCTTTACTCATTAGGACATTATATGGCTTTTTTCAAGATCGGTTCCCTAAATCTTATGGTCTTGACTTATCATTACTTGGGAGATGCAATCTATTTATTAATCCATTGTAAAAAGGAATGCATTCAAATAATAATAACACATAATCGTCATGAATAGAGCACACACAACAAAAAAGATAAGTAAAAGAAAAATATATGATGATTTTTTAATTTATAAAACTTGCAAAAAAAAAAGATTTATGAAGTTAATTGTAACCAAATTTAGCAAATTATCATGAAATTGTAATGTGTGTTGCTAAAATAAAGTATTAATGAACGAAAATGCTATCTTGTGATTGTTAAAAAATTAAATTCATCAATTCAAAATATGTTTATAAAACTTAAAGGGAAGTTTGATATAAGGATGGTTTTTTTTAGTCAAGATTGGCTAAACTTCTTATAGTAAAAACTGAGTATTTCTAAATAGGATCACACAATATTTTGCTCCGGATTAGCACAAAAAATTAGAATCTTAACCCACTCCATGATGGAGTGATACATAACACGGATTGATGCCAGAACATTATGCTCCATTTAACAACCCTATTTACAAGCTAGCTGTTAATTATTTATGAACTGTTTTTATTTAATTAGAATTAAAGCCTATTCCGCCTGAGCTTTTAAGCAAAATATTCATAACGAGGATAACTATGCGACGTTATACTCGCGAATAAACAATGGCACGCCTAATTTTATGGAATTATTCACATGGATTCTTAACTAGAAACGTGTCGAAAGAGAACAGATCATTGATGTTGATTTGTTCGACGAAATACCAGATCACATAAAAACGTTCATTGTAAACAATGAACAAATTATATAATTTTTTTTCTAAAAGTTTGCACAATTTTAAAGGTATAGAAGTTATTTTCTGTCTTACCTTAGTTGATAGAATAGGTCTTTCTTTAGTTTTAATGTAATGATGAGATTTTCTCAGAAAAATTATTAGTTGTAGAATTCTATTCTTTTTTAGTACATGTATTTTACTATGTTCACAAGGAATTTGGTCATTATATCATTACTAAATTTAAGATATTATTATTATAATTTATAATTTTTTTCGAAAGTTTCGAATAATAATTCACAATAATTTTTATGAGGTTATTCCTCTTGACACAAAGTTTACTCGATCAATCCGGTAACCAAATAAGTGCCAAAACAATTTCCGACGAAACACAATAAAATTTCTTTATATTTATAAAAGTTTGGTGGTTGCTAGATACAACTTCCATAAATCTGATTTACAGACAGAATCATCAAAGCTATCTCTTTATATAAGTAATCAATCATTAATGGAAGAATAATTTTTTAATATTTCAATTTTTTGATCCTTTTATATGAATAATCAATCTAATTTTTCTTCAATTGGGATGAAATTACTTGTTATTTGAACTCTAGATTATGTAAAAATGAAAATGCCATATAAATATTTTGATGCCTTTAAAAAAATTTTAATAACAATATTAAATTATTATATATCTTTACATTGTTATATCTCAGCATGTATCCAACCAATTGAGATGAAATAACTTTAAGTTGGCACTTATTTGAACTCTAGGTTATGTGAAAATGAAAACGCCATATAAGTATTTTGATAGATTTTTCAAAATTACATAATTTTGAAAGACTTCACCTACTATATATTTTTGAATTGAACAAACTCATATGCAAAGAAAGCCTGAATTCTAATATGCAATGTATCCAACTTATAGTTAACATTATTAATATTGATATTGATTTTAAAATCATAATTTGTTGACACTTTTAAAAATTCTCTCTTTTTTGCATGTTTTTCCAATTATAATAATAATAAATTCTTTCTTTATTTAATATACCTCAAATATTATTAATAACTATAAAGATTTTCTCTGCATGCAATATTAATCTACTTAGCGATAGATATTCTTTTATTCAAAAAGTAAGAGTTGAAAATATTAAATGTTAATATTAATAAAATTTTGCTTTGCCTACTAATGAGATAAAATAGTTGAAATCATTACACTTACTGAAATATGTATACAAAGTTATAATTTTACAGCAATTTTTACAGCAAAATGTTGCATGTAAAAATTTTTTTACAACATGCATGATCGAAACAAAAATTGGGAGACATAAAAAAATAGTTTTTTTGCTTTTTTCTAATGCGGGACCCTTATGAGGGGATGAGAAACTATTTTTGAGCCTTTTCTATAAAACTAGTGTATTTAAATTTCTAATAAGATCAATAATAATTGTACTGTAAACGGGGTGTTATCGAAAACAAAATAGATTAGTTTAGATCGTTCAATAATTATTACCGTAAAGTCTTGAAGATAGCACATAGTAACAAATAACAGTTTTCTATAAAATCGTGACGATTAAATAGTGAATTGTACATACTAAAAAAGGAAATATCATGGGATGCTATCTTTCGAGATTTTACGGTAAAGAACTTATCCGAATTTACATAGTAATGGTAATAGTAATAGTAAAATTTTACAATCAAATAACTTCTAACCCCCATTTAATATCCAAATTTAAGACATAACTTCTTTATCATATGTATCTACTTTAAAGCAGATTGTTAATAAAACCCGAAATAATCTGACCGGTAAAAAATTTTATTAATTATTAGATAATTATAATTAATAATTTTTTTGCACTGTATAATCATGCGCATGAAAGCCACATATTATTTTATTTATATAATCCCATAATCTTCTCTCGAAAAAATTTTCTTATAAAAATCTCTTGAAAACTTTTTACACGAATAATCATAATATTTCTTATAAAATCTCGAAAACTTTCCACGCGAATGATATAGAATTGAAAAATTTTTTTTAAAATGCCAACAAAAAACCAAAGAATCTTCTCTCGAAAACTTTGATTATAAAATTATAAATTTGTAAAAATCGTAAGTGTTATCAAAACACGATTGTTTTTTACAAGCTATTAGTTAATTGTTATGAACTATTTTTTATTTAATAGAGCTAAAAGACAGGCTCTTCCACCTGAGCTTTTAAGCAAAATATTCAAGTATTACTATGCGACGTTATTCTTGTAATAAACAATGGAACAATATCAGCACTCCCAATTTTATGGAATTGTTTATTGGAGGAGGACGTGGATTCTTAACTAGAAACGTGTCGAAAGATACAGTCAACCCTCTCTAAGTGCACCCTTCTTGTGAACATATCACTATTTCTCATAAACATGTATGTGAAATTGAAATATTATGGAGTGGGGTGAAATTCTGATTGGCAAATTTGAATTTCACATATGTAAATTTGAATTTCACATATGTGAATTGCGAATTCACATAATTTCATTTTCACGTATAACATTAACAAAAGCTTTGTTTTAATAAGATTACGGAATTAGAAGTTGGCCAAATAGTTATAGAGTATCATGGAGATGCCAACGATGATATTAATGATGTAGCAACAACCTTTTTTACAACAGCTGGTGATGATAATACTTTAAACAATAATGACGCTCAAAATGAAATTGAAACAGATTCAGGTTTAACTATATTGGGATCATCATCATAACATTCTCTCATGTCTGATGGTATACCATAAACAACAGAAACAGCAACAGAAACAGCAACAGAAACAGCAACAGAAACACTTAGTAATGATAATATTACTATAAACAATAATGACACTCACAATAAATATAAACTTCGGGCTAAAAAATCTGTAAACTATAACATTGGGTTACCACCAAGGAAACGCCGCCGTAAATTTTCACCTGTAAGTATAAACTGAAACATTAATAGTAGATATAACATTTTATTTGATCTTTTTACTTATATTTATAGGAATCACCACCACCATCGCCATCATCACAGTCACCATTACCACAGTCACCACTTGAGGAGGTATATATATAGTATAAAAATACAATTATTTTAAGATAAAATGTTATATACAGGAAGGGGAATGCAGGGAATGTCCAATACATTGTCAGTTGTAGTACCGTAAAGTCCGGAAAGATAGCACCCCCTACTTTAAAACAATTGAGCGTCAATATAAAAAAAATGTTACACATATGTAAAAAGGGGATGCTATCTTTCCAGACTTTATGGTATTATTATCAATTGTGACAGGTGGTGTATTATTGATGTGCTGTATTAGATATCTCATATCTGTTATATTTATTCTAAGTTGGTATGTTGATGATTGTAATTTTTTGCAAGCAAGGTAAATTTGGTTTGAGATATTTGTAATGGTGCATGGTGCATTTGTTGAGTAGATGGATCTTTGACATCCTGTGCATGGTGAAATTGTATTAATATCTGTATTTGTATTATTCAATATATAATGTCTGTACAATGTAGATGATATACGCTTGGCTATTATGAGATCAGAGTTTATTATGGATTCTATTATAGGTTTGTGTCTCATGTCAGTTAGAGGTGTGTATAAGGAAGGGAAAATGAATGGATTGGTGTGAGGTAAATTTGATATATTGTTTAAAAAATTTGTTTGTGGTTGACATAATTGAGATTTAAGTATATTGTACCATTTAGGAGGCCTACGAAATTTACTAAGAGGTAGTCTATGAAATAACATATATGAGTTTATTAAGAATTAGTGAAGAACATAAACAACTATATTAATATTATTTTTTTAACTCTAGATAAAAAATATATTGGATAATTTTTCCACTGGTTGCATATGAAGTTACATGTCTTATAATGGGTAAAACTTTTAATTTTTTGACATGTTATATGCTAAAATGGGTAAAGGAAAAGAATGTTACATGCCTAAAAAGGTTAAAAGATTTATAAATAACTGGATGATATCTCAATTATAATAATCCGTGGTACTATGGTGACATTTTTCAGTTTGAGTTTCCTTTTGGGATTAAATTTAATTCATTAAAGTACCTCGAATCATAGTGTTGGAGGTCACACTCAATAGAATTTCCTGGTCCTTTTGACAGTGCATGCCATTATAACCCACCATAAAACTTTAAATAGGGAATATTTGAAAAAAAAAAATAGACTAATTCTAAATCCATTGTTGAGATAATTTAAAAAAATTATTTGTTCCAAAGTTATTAATCATGTGTACAATATGTAACATATAAAAAACATAAAAATACATGATTTTTAAAATGACAGATTGTATAGTGATGGGTTATAGTGGCATTGTACAAGTATATGTTGTTGTTGACTATTTGCCTTCTTTCTATCTTCTGGTTGTTTGCCATTTTGCAATTCTTTATAATTCTTTGTTACCTTGATTGTCAAAGCTGCTTTTACAACATCTTTTCTTTATTTAGATTATGCAAACCACTTTCAATGACAATTATCAATGCCTTGGTCTATTTACTTATTATTTTCACTTATTGTTTCAACTTCATCATAAATGTAAATCTTTTGCTGCAGGTCATTTCATCTTCATTCTTGACTTTACTTTCTGTGACTGTATTAATATTCTTTGTATTTATATTTCTTTACTCACTACTACTATGCCAATCAAATTAGAACCAATTGTTCATTATTTCTTCATTTCTATTGGCTAGTTCCTTATTGGGAAAAATGCAATTCATGAAGACTTCACATAGTGAAAGCATTGAGCATAACAACTGCGAGCGTGCAAATTCAATTACAGCTCGGGTTGTGTCCAATAAAATATATAAGATAAAATAAATAAAAGTCCAATA